GTTAGTAGATGCTACTGTTGGTTTTGACGTTTTGTGTTTTCTGGATACTTTTAAGGGATACCACCAGATAGATATGGCTGAGGAGGACAGGGAGAAGACTTCCTTCATCACTGAGGAGGGAACCTACTGCTACCGGACCATGCCCTTTGGGCTGAAAAACGCTGGAGCCACCTACCAGCGCCTGGTCAACAAGTTGTTCCAAAATCAGATCGGCAAAAGCATGGATGTCTACGTGGACGACATGATCGTCAAAAGTCGAACCGATCATCGGCTCATTCCGGACCTAAGGGAGATCTTGGACATCCTGCGGGAGAGCCGGATGCGGCTGAACCCAAAGAAGTGCACCTTCGGAGTTAGGTCGGGTCGGTTCTTCGATTTCTTGGTCTCCCGAGAAGGAATCCGGGCCAACCCCGAAAAACTCCAGGCCATCATGGACATGGCCCCTCCACGGAATGTGAAGGAGGTCCAGCGACTCACGGGGAGGATGGCAGCCCTGAACAGATTCTTATCGCGTTCCGCGGTGAGGGGGCTCCCCTTCTTCCGAATCCTGAAAGCGTCCAAGGACTTTCAGTGAACCGAAGAGTGCGAAAAGGCCTTTACCGACCTAAAGACGTATTTGGTCGAGCTGCCCACCCTGACCGCCCCGAAACAGGGAGAAACCTTGTTCCTATACTTGTCCGCCTGCAACGAGGCCGTCAGCGCGGTTCTGGTGCGAGAAGACAGGGGGGCTCAGAGGCCAATATATTATGTTAGCCGCGCCTTACAAGATCCGGAAACGCGGTACACGCCAGCTGAAAAGCTGGTCCTGGCCTTGGTGCACGCTGCTCATAAGTTTCGACCTTACTTCCAGACCCACAGCATTGTCGTCATGACCTATCAGTCTCTGCGGCAGATACTCACCAAGCCTGAGGTCTCGGGCAGGATGACCAAGTGGGCCGTCGAACTGGCCGAGCACGACATCGGCTATAGACCCCGCACTGCTATTAAGGCTCAGGCTTTGGCCGACTTCCTCGCTGAAGGGGCTAGTTCGTCCACGGGCGGACTGAGCTCTCCGCCTGTACTTGGGCAGCCGTGGGTGCTATTCGTGGACGGAGCCTCGGGCAAGGAAAGAAGCAGAGCTGGCCTGCTGCTTATCTCGCCAACCGGGGAGGAGCTGACATATGCCCTCCGATCGACTTCCCCGCGTCCAACAATGAAGCCGAGTACGAGACCCTGCTCACAGGATTGCGGATAGCCCACCAGATGGGTGTGACCGCCATCAAAGTCCGGAGCGACCCTCAGCTCGTCGTCCTCCAAGTTCGCGGGGAATACGAGGCCAAGGAGGAGGTCATGAAGAAATATCTGGCCAAGGTGCAGGAGGCGACAGCCCTGTTTAATACATTTGAGATCGAGCGGGTGTCTAGATCGCAGAACAAGCGTGCAGACGCCCTGTCAAAGCTGGCATTCTCCTTGTTTGCGCACCTGAACAAGGAAGTTCTGGTAGAGGTGGTAAAGCAGAAAAGTATCGACCAGGTCCAGATCCTGGCTATAGACAACTCAGCCACCTGGATGACCCCTCTCGTAAACTTCCTCTGCTCAGGCGACCTCCCTGAGAACAAAATCGAGGCTCGCCGGATCCAGCTCAGAACTGCCAAGTACGCCTACGCTGGAGGAACCCTCTACAGGAGGTCATACTTATCCCTCTGGCTAAAGTGCGTGACTCCTGAGGAGGGCGATTACGTCCTCCGTGAAATCCACGAAGGATTATGCGCGGCGCATTTGGGGTCCCGGGTACTTGCCAAAAAGTGCCTCCTCCTAGGCTACTATTGGCCTTCGGTTTTCCAAGATGCGGCTGCTCTGGTTCAAAAATGCCGAGCATGCCAGGTGCATGCGCCGCTGCGCCACCAACCCAATCAGGAGATGGTCCCCATCCACAGTCCTTGGTCTTTCGCCCAGTGGGGGATAGATCTCTTGGGTCCCTTCCCCCGAGCTCCGGACAGGTACGAACACCTCATGGTGGCTATCGACTATTTCACAAAGTGGATGGAAGCCGAACCCCTGGCCACTATCTCCGGCAGAGCAATTCAGAAGTTCTTCTGAAAAAGCATAGTCTGCCGCTTTGGAATCCCGTATGTCCTAATATCCGACAACGGGCGACAGTTTGCTGAAAATCCCTTCAAAAGCTGGTGCGCCGAGCTAGGGATTAACCAGCACTTCACCTCGGTCGGACACCCCCAGGCCAACGGTCAGGTGGAGAACGTTAACCGAACAATTCTGCAGGGGTTAAAGACTAGGTTGGAGCTAGCCCAGTCTAACTGGTTGGACGAACTACCTAGCGTCCTCTGGGTTTACCGCACTACGCCCAGGACTGCCACCCACGAGGCCCCGTTCTCTCTGACTTACGGAGTAGAGGCTGTGGTACCCGCGGAGATTGGTTTCCCCTCGCCTCGAACACAGAATTTCGTTGCGACAACCAATGAGAAAGAGCTAAGGTACAACTTGGACATGCTGGAGGCTAAGCGTGAGGAAGCGGCGGTCCGGATGGCTAAGTACAAGAGCCAGCTCGCCCGCTATCATAACGCCAAAGTGAGGACCATACAGTACCAGCCAGGGGATCTTGTCCTAAGGAAGAACTCGGTCAACCGGGCACATGGCTCCAACAAACTCGACCCCAACTGGGAAGGCCCATATCTGGTCCTAGAAGCAAGCCGAGCTGGCTATTGTAAGCTCGCGAAAATAGATGGATCGGAGGTACCCCGTACTTGGCATTTCTCCAATCTGCGACTGTTTGTAGCGTAGGTTAGACCAGGGTGTTCGGTTGCCTATTCTTTGGAATTCAAATTTTAGTTTCATCATTCAATAAAGGCTCGACTTTCAAGTTTTAATTTCATTTGTACTCGTTTATCTTTTGAGTTTTAATCTTACACTAGCACACTTAGCGTTCCCTCACTAAATGTCCTAGTGGGGGGTTAGGAGGTTAGTAATGGATGCGAGAGTGTTCGACCCCAAGAGGTCGGCATGACTGGGGAGCTCTGAAGATCCTGAAAGTTCCACGCTCGACCCAGGAGGTCGGCACGACGGGAAAACTTTGAAGGATTCTAAAAATTCCACGCTCGACCCAGGAGGTCGGCGGGCGCCATGGCAGGGTGCGATGCTCGACCCCGAGAGGTCGGCACTGATTAAAACTCCCAGGTGAATGCTCGACCCCAAGAGGTTGGCAAGGGTCAAAGCTGGGGAGTCTGAGACCACGACGCTCGGCCACGAGAGGTCGGCATGGAGCGGACTATTTTTGGTCTGATGGGATTCGAGGTTCAATGCTCGATCCGGGAGGTCGGCACGAACACCTTCAAAGTCGGACGTTCGACCCAGGAGGTCGGCGGGGGAAATCCTTAAGGATTTGGTGTTCAGCCCCAAGAGGCTGGCACGTTGCTCGGGTAGGACGGCGTGGTGCTCGATCCGGGAGGTCGGCATGATTATCTTTGCAAATGTTTGGGCGCTCGACCCAGGAGGTCGGCGGCGGAAAGCCTTCGAGATCTGAGACGTGATGCTCGATCCAAGAGGTCGGCAGGACCTCCTCTGGAACTTCCCAGGAGATCGGCACAACTCAGAAACCTTACGGCTCGATGCTCGACCGTTATTTTCCGGCGACTAGAGTTTGCCGTTAGCAGGAAATGGAAAGATAAATCAGACAGTTTCATTTAAAAACTTCATCTCATATATGCATTCAAAGCCTATCTATTACAAAACTCCCAGTCTATCTATTACAAAGCCTACCGAGCTATACAAGGAAAGGGCCTAGCTACGCCTTCTTCCTGCTGGAGATAGTAGGGGTTGAAGGTACACCTTAAGTATGTTGAGAGGTAGGAGTTGAAGGTACACCTTAAGCATGTTGAGAGGTAGGAGCTGAAGGTGCACCTTAAGCATGTTGGGGGTTGGGTGGAGAAGGCTGTTAAAAAGGATCTGGGGAGCCTTTCCGTCTCAGATGGACCTTCAAGAGCATTTTCAACTGGAGCATGGTCACATCCTTATAAGGAGACGGAAAGGGTTTCTGGAGTGGCCGCTGCCCTAGGCCACAGGCTTCTTCCCGGAAGCCCTGCCAGGAGTCTCCTCCTCCTCCAGGGGAAGCTCCGCCAGCTCGGTCCCCACGTCGCTCCTTCCCATCAGGTCCTTCAGGGCATGCCCCTTGCGGTACCCATCGAAGAGCCAGTCCAGCTTCTCCTCGGCCGCAGGATTGTAGTCCTTGAAATCCGCCAAGTTGAAGTCGGGTGGGTTGAGGCCCTTCACCTTGTTCAGGGTCCGCGTGGCGCTGACCTGGAAGATGGGCTGGTTGAGGCAGGCCACGTCCTCGACGAACTGGTCGGAGGAGATGAAGTCCCGGACAGCTTTCTTGCGCTCCCGGCTGACGGTGCCAGAGAGCTCAACGGCGTGCTCCTCCTTCAGTTTCGCCACGCTCTTCTTCTCTTGGTCCAGCTCGGACCGTGTGGAGGCGAGCTGGACCTGGGAGTCCTCCAGCTCTTTCTCAGCCTTGCCCAACTTGGCCTTAAGGGAGTCTACCTCCTTAAGGGCCTTGGCCAGCTTCTGCTCGGCCTTCCGATTCTTCTTTTGCATCTTCTCCAAGTCGGGAGACAGTTCGGAGAAGCGGGTCACCAGGGCAGCACCGGCGGCGTTGGCCTGGAGAGAGGAGAGTAAGAGTTAGCATATTGCTAGCCCCATTCGGAGAAAAAAAATAGGGACCCAAGGGGCCTAAGAAGGAGAGGGCTTACTTGGGCCTGGGCGGTGTAGTACATGTCCTGGATCTCGGACGGGTTGGCCAGCTCCATCCACTTCTTGTCGCGTGGAAGGACTGAACCCGTGACCAGCTCGCGAGCCACCTCGGGGAATTGGGCTCGGTCATTGATGGAGAGCTCCCAGGACGGACAGAAGTGCCGGGGATCGTGCATCGTGGGGGCCTGCCCCGGCTTCGTGGGGGCCACGTGGCGGAAGTGCCACAAGCTCGGAGGGGCGCTCTCCTGGGCGTGCTCCTACGCGGAGCCTATCCCCAGGTGGACAGGGCCCCCAGACATCAGCTGGAGAGGGCGCTGTGCTGGGCCCTGCGCAGGCTTCTTCGCAGGTTGGGAAGGCTCGTCATCTCGCCCCCTCTTCTGCCCCGTGGCATTCTTTTTGGCGGGGACCTGCTTGGATGGGGACTGAGTCTGGGAGGCCTCCTTCTGGGGGGCCGAGCTGCCCCCAAGAGTCGCAGAGGCCTCAGGGGCCTTCTTTGCCGCCTCAGGCTGTGTGGTGGAGGTGACCTCCTCAGTCGGCGCGCCCAGTAGCCTGGAGAGCCTCTTCACTGCAGAGAATATCACCGGATTAGTGCTACAAGTCAGAGAAATACAAGGAAAAAGGCAGCAGATAACAAGGGAACAGGAGCAGTATTACAGGTATCTCGGTTGGCGGGGGAGAACTCCACCCCTCTGGGGGACCCGGACAGCTTCCCCAACAGCCCGGCTGCGGAAATCTACTCAGTGGAGAACTTGGCTGCGTACAGCTTCGCCGCAGAGCCCAGCAGCTGGCCGAAGGCCTCAGGGTCCAGGTCTTCCGGGCAGGGGTCGTCCCCGACCCCCCCAACCTTCCACGCAGTAGGAGGAAATTGCGTGTTTTTAACAAAAAAGAAGTCCCCCTTACAGTTCTTCACGGAAAAGGGGACCCCGTAGAGGAGATCTTGGGCGCCCTTCCGCCGCGGTTGCTGGGGGAGCGGCGGCAGAAGTAGTACCACCCAGGGAGATAAGCCTTGAGGGCGTAGGTAGCACGGAAGAGAGAGAGAGAATAGGGGATGGAGCAGATCTGGCAGTAGATCAGGAATCCGATGATGATCCTGATCGAGTTAGGGTGGATCTGGGTGATCCTGAGCCCCTAGAAGCTCAGGATCTCGGCCAGGCCCGGAGGAATGGGGAGTCGAAACCCCGCGACCAGTTGCTCTTTGTAGATGGCTACAAAGCCTGAGGGAGGTCGGCAGGCCCGGTCGGTGGGCCCGGCAGCTCGTGGCTCGAAGGCCGGAGGAATGGAGAACGACGCGGCCAGCTCGGCCACCACCCCGGGCGAGAGGGTGGTCTCCTCCCGGTCAGGGTTACCGTAGTTGAACTCAGGGTCATCCCCCTGCTCGGCAGCAGGGGTCCCCTTTGAGGAGTCCCTGTCCTTAGCTCCGCCAGGGGAGTCATGTGGGGACTCGGGGGATGGAACAGAAGCGGCTTGCTGCCGGATATAGGCATCAAGCTCGGCCGCCTCCTCCAAGAGTCGGGCGGAAGGAGAATGAGCAGACGGAGAGCTCATGATGTCAATAGGCTCAAGCAAGTCAGGAATGGAAAAATTGGGGTTGGAAGCAGAGGATGAAAAAGGAGGAGGAGGGGGAGATGATGAAGACGAAGATGAAGATGAAGACGAGGACGAAGAGGAAATGAAGATTCTGGTGGCTCTACGACGGACCGGAGTCTGGGATGCGGAGGAAGTGACGTCGGAGTGACCCGACATAAAATGCAAAGGGTGGCAAAGGGAGGAAAGGAAATGTGAAAGAAGAAGGGAAAGGACTTACTGGTGATCGGAGTGAAGAAAGGGATGAAGAAGTCGCCGGAATCTGGGTGCTGTTGGCCGGAAATGCGCTACTGGGAATTGGGAAATGCACGAGGAAAGGAGAAAATGGCAAATAGAGTCAACTGGAATTTGGCAGCCCCTATTTATTGGGAACGAAATTGGGAGAAAACGGTTGCTTGAATTTGAACCGTCCCATGTGAACACATTTAATAGAGGTACGGAGACCGAATGGATGCGACAGCTGAAAGGACGCGGACGCCACTTCCCAATGTCAGCACTGCACCGGAGGTGACCGCGGCAGAGCAGTGGGATAAGGGGCTTCCACGTGGCAAGGGGATAGATCAGGTCTGCCTGGGAGCCTGACCTAATCTAGGGGGCTAGTGCAGAGGCCCCGTCCTGGGCCTGTACACGTGGCAGCCCAGGGTTGATCTGAGTTGGGCTTACACCCCGGGCCCATGGGGAACCAGCCCAGGGCGCACGGCGACTAGGGCTTCGGGAGGCTCCCGAGAGCTACCCCGCAGAGGGCGGGGAGAATCCCCCTCAGCGGGGGATTGGGAGCTATCCAGGGCAAGTTCCGGAACGTACGGAGGTCGGACTCCTAAGCGGGTATAAATGGTAACACATACCAACTGTACAAGGTACGCTCACTATTGGCAATTCACTCCCGACTGCTTTTCTGTTAGTACACTCCCCTCTCACCGGAAAACTAACTTGACCGTCGGAGTGCCCTCGGGGACCACCTCGGGGCCCCTGCCAGTTTACCCTCCTATTTATCTTGCAGGCTTGGAATCAGCTCTTCCATCAGCACCTCGAGCTCATCAGGTCAGCTCGGTCCGGGGAAGTTCCGTGCTTCTTCAATTGCCATGATTCCTCGTCTTCCAAAAGTTTGCCTTCGATTTGAAATGGCTGATTCCGATTTGCCATGGTTCTTATATAGACTGAGAAGTGTAAAGAGTGAGAGTATATCCAGCTACTGGGTGCAAATATTCTGCTTATTGTGCTTCCACGGAATTGTAGGATTGGTCCATCCTAAATTATTGTGCTTCCGGGTCCATCCAAAATTATTGAATGTGTTTGCATAGATGAATATTTGGAATAAATATTTTGAAAAAATACTGTAACACTTTCTGTAATATGATGTATATGAAATACAAAGAAAGATAGAACAATAAAAAAGCACTTGAGAAATATATTTACGATGCAATTATATAAGTTTTTACAAATAAAATGATATCCAAACAAACAAACAATCTTCCTCAGAATTTTGGGACCAATCCATCCTAAATTATTGTGCACCAGTCCTTCGTCAATTATTGGGACCAGTCCTTTCCATACATTCCGTTCTTCAGTAGAATTCCCATGCAAAATTAGTCACTTGCATATGCCCAGCCATTTATTCGGCCTCCGTGGGCCTGAGGTTGTTTAGCCAGCAAACATCATAATTCCACAGTGATGTTTGATAGACAGAAGACGTACAACTTTTTTAAAAACACATGGGCCCACCATTTGTTTCGTTTCAAATGCTCTTAGAAATTGGAATTTCCTTCTTCAGTGTTTGTAGTTGATAAAATGTATCTGTTGACAATCTAATCTAATGGATCATAATATATGCAGTAGGATCTAATACAGAAGAACTGCTCTAAGTATCCTATTGTAAACTGTGAATGACTTGCCCTTTGTTAGACTGTGTATTAGATAGAACAGCACCAAAACTTCTGTCTAAACTGATATATGGCTTGGCTTTTCTTGATTATGTCCGTAGATATCAGTTTACTTTTTGTTTCTTTATCTATCAATAGATTAACCCTGAAATTCTGTCAAAATACATATGTACGGCTTGACATGTTACAAGATAAATACATTCTTACAAACTCAATTGAAGAATGAAGACTACATCTGCATCACCATTTGGTGGGCGGCCACAGCCAGTCCCTGCAAGTAGTGATTCAAATTGGGACGCGGGGCATGCACTGACAACCGTTCAAAATAGTATAATACTTTTTAAACAAGTTGTAATTGCTTCTTAATTACTTGTACAAACTTACAACAGGAGTGTGATATTTTATTACTGTTCATATAGATCTCATACATAATAATTGTGTGTCTTGTTATAAAATTTTACAAGTAATTCACATAAAGTTACAAAAGTGTTCAAAAAGTGTTACATCATTCCGATCCGTGCGTGGAGTCCCTCAATTTGACACTAACATCATCGTACCCCACAAATGTGATTATTCTTACATTGTTTCATAGAATTTTGGGACCAGTCCATCCTAATTAAATCATTGTGCTTCCTTGTCCATCCTAAATTATTGTGCTTCAACATAATTTTGGGACCAGTACTTCGTAAATTACCTGAACAAAAAGTCCTTTGTAATTATTGGACTGGCACGAGTCCCTCAAATTGACACCAACGCCACCTTACCCCGCGAATGTGACTATTCTTACAAGTGTGTTTGGACAAGAGATTATTTGTCCAAATATATTTGCTTACATCACCATTACAATTTCCAATACACCTTTTTATCTTTCCAATTATCTTTTTATCTCACACACATCACATCACAAAAAGTGCTACAATAAAAATATCTCAAATAATTTACTAGAATTTTGGGGCCACTCCATCCTAAATATTGTACTTCCAAAGCATTTTAAATCACTCATCTTGATTTTAAACTTTTTAAGTTTACACCATAAAAAATGGACTATTTTTATTCACAAAAACAATTCAATGGTAACTTTGGTCAATGCAGCCTGCAAATATTTTTTTCCAAGGGAAATCTCTTTTTTTTTATATAGTTCGGATATTTATAAGGGAAAATTTGCTATATAATTGGCGAAAGATTTGATATTCAAGGATGGAGTAAAATTTTGTCCAAAGTCAAAAGTAGGGAGTTTGGATTCTTTTAATGGGAATCAAGCTAAAATGATAGATTTGCCCGGAGGTAGTTTTGCATGAATTTAGGACCTCAATTGGCCACGTTATGTCCGTAGACTGTGTTCGGATAAGAGATTTAGGACCTCAACTGGCCTCTCATCCAACGAAAATATACTCCATTTTGACCAATGCAACTGTGTTAGGATAGGAGATTATTTGGAATAGTTTTTTTTTTCAAAAAAACATAGTGTAGTAACTTTTCAATGAAAATAGATTCCATATTGGCCGATGCGACTATGTTTAGATAGGAGATTATTTGGGATAATTTTTTAAAAAAATAGTGCAGCACTTTTCTGATGTGATGCCTGTGAGATAAAAATATAATTAAAAATATATTTATGATGCAAACAGATAAATTTGTGTAAATAATTTGCTATCCAAACTAATTCGTTGTGAGGGCCCGAGTTACATATGTATCCATATCAACATTAATCAAGCAATCAATACATAAAAACTGAACCATCAAGTTGTATTACATTAAACACGTAAGAAGACGACATTAAATTCTTGCTTGCATGATTTGCTAGATTTCAAATGATTCTTTCATATTGTTGATTATGTACCACATGTATATAGGTATCGATAAGGGTACCTCCTGAGAGGACCACAGTGATAGAACCTTTTTCTTTGTTAAATGTATCAACTTTTGCGAATTTGTGTTGATGGTTTTAATCCTGCATGTAAATTTCTATACAAAAAGTAGTATATGTCGTTCGTGAATTTGTACTTTCAGTTTGAGTGTTCAGCATATGGGTGCACCAAACTCAATAAAATGGTTGTCAAGTATGTTAAAATTCCATTAAATATTTGGAAGAGTTTGTTTGGAGAGTTTTATGTGAGTAGTTTATCTGCTGGATTTTAACTTAGATTGATATTGATATTCTACGCTTTCTAATGAGATTGAAAATCATTTAAAGTTTGTATTTTTTTTTATGTTTTATTGAAGGAGAATATTATTTTGATACGACACTTTAAATCCTTAATATCTCTATAATTTCTAGTAATCACGAGAAAACACTTAGCGACAAAATATCACAAAAAGGAATACAAACAACATGCAACGTACGCTCTCTTATACTAGTTACTTAAAATATAGGACAAAAAAACATGATTTTAGTCTAGTGCTCTAAATTTGGATTCAAAATGTTTACGGACGTGTTCAGAAATCACCATTGCCTGGAATACAGCATGTACATGATCTCGTTGATAATCAAATTCAGTGAAGAAGTAATTGATGAGGGGAAAAATTCACTTTTCATCCCTAAATTTTGAGTTAGGGACACATTTCATTCCCAAACTTTTAGATGCACCATATTTAATATATGAATTAATTATATTTTGCCACATTTAGTCCAAAAATAGTAAATTGTTTAATTTGGATGGAGAAAGTCACATGTTTGGCATGCGGTTGTTAAGTAAAAATAATTTCTCAATCAAAATTAACAGTCACGCCAATCTTCTCCATCCAAATTGAATATTTTATCATTTTGGTCTAAATGTGGTCCAAAATAATTAATTCATGTACTAAATGTGATGCGTCTAAAAGTTTGGGGACGAGATGTATGTCTAACTCAAAATTTAAGGACGAAAAGTGGATTTTTCCTTAATTGATATTCTTAAAATGAGCTATTAGATTCTTTTGTTAAAGAATAAGAGACTCAACAAACATCTTAGTTAAGAGACTCGACAAACATCTTAGTTATGCACATTTTCTTTTCGCTAGATTCCTTTCTTTTCTCCTTCGAATGGTGACTCAAATTGACATTAACATCACCGTACACCCCAAACACGCAACGGATCTTCT